CTCACATACTGGACAACGTTTCCACTTCTCTCAGGTAAGTTCAAATAAGTAAAGACTTAAAAGAAAATACGTTTTTTTTTTTTTCAGGAGTGACAAAAAAGGGAAGAGAGAAAAGTTGCTCTTTATAGGGATGTCACAATGGTAATCCATTGTGACATCCCTATAAAGAGCAGCCAAAGGAAGAAGACATTATTTTGTTCTATCTGTCTGAACACAGGTGTTTGGTCCTGAGACAACACAAAGGGAGCTGTTTGAAGGCACAGTGAAGGACTTGGTCAAAGATGTTTTGGAGGGAGAAAACTCTCTCATCTTCACCTATGGTGTCACCAATGCTGGAAAAACCTACACCTTTTTAGGTCATTCATTAATGGATTTAATCCCAAAGGATTTTATTTCAACTGCCTGACCCCATCCTGTGTGTCTAACCTCTGCTGTGCTGATTGTAGGTCCAGACTCTGATGCAGGGATTCTGCCCAGGTCACTGGACCTGATCTTCAACAGTATTGACGATCGGGTTTTTACCTCAACAATTGTCAAACCTCATCGCTGCAGAGAATTTGTAAGACTCTCCACGGAGCAACAACTTGAAGAGGCAGCATTCAAGAGAAACTTGTTCAGGCCACTCAAAGAGGTAAACGCATTTCATGGCTCTGTTCTACTTTTTAATTTTGATAATCATAATTGTGTAGACTTAATTTGTTTGTAATGTTTATCTATTTCTATACTACTACATTAGCAGATGTTTCTGAACTTTTATATTGTGTGCTTTTCTATTGTGTTATTTTCTAGATAAATATATTCATGTTCATTATAATGTTCATTATAGCGATAATTAATTTTTTCATTTATTCATCTATTTCTTCCCATTTATTTTTTTCTTTCTACCTACCACAAACCTGTTTTTGTGTATTTCTATTTACTCTTTTACGTGTAAATTGCTTGTGACATTAGAAACATATAATAACGACAGATGAATATAAAGCTCTGCCGTGCGTCCAAACAAACAGAAGTGCTGGTGAAGTGAAATATACATTTTGGAACATTTAATTTCAGAGCGAGAGAAGCAACAATGTCAGCTTCCTGAATTCCACCAGCAAGACATTTCTGGAAGGTAGGTAATGTTATGTGATATCCTACAAAAACGTGTGGGATACAGTGGGATTATTCTAGAGTTGGCAAACTTGATAAAATGTAAAGACACCACAGAGCCTGTCTAGATGTGATTTTGTCATCAACGCCTCCAGTGTTCTACTCTCAATATATTTAAATGTCTCTAATGTTGTGTCACTGGCAGGACCATCTACTTTGGAAATGCCAATAACAGCCGAGGACAGAATTACCCTGGATGTAGAGAGACACACAAAGTTTTCTGTTTGGGTTTCTTTCTGCGAAATCTATAACGAGAACATCCATGACCTGTTGGAGCCGTTACCCATCGGTACCCCGAGGAGAACTATCTTGCGTTTGTCTCAGGATGTTAAAGGCAATGCCTTTGTCAAAGGTGGGAAAACACCATTGCTTTACACTCAGAACTTCAGTCAGAAAGTTTTTTTTTTCAAACTTGGTTATAACTTTTCTGAGATGAGGTGGCCTTTGTTTTTCTCTGTGTGTACAGATCTGCGCTGGGTTCAGGTAAACAATGCAGAAGAAGCTTTCAGAGTGATGAAGCTGGGTAAGAAAAACCAAAGCTTCTCCTCCACCAGACTCAATCAAGTCTCTAGCAGGAGGTGAGGAGCAGTGGGGTCTCTTTTTTCTTTTTTTGTCTGACAGTGTGGTGGAACAGTTAACTCAATATTACAAATTTTAACACAAAGAAAAAAGGTATTTGTCCCAACATGTGCACAACAAAAATGATAACATATTTTCTCTCCTCAGTCACAGCATTTTTTCAATTCGTATTTTGAGGATTGAAGACGTTGCGACCCAGAGGGTCCACACAGTCAGCGAGTGAGTACTCTTTTTCTTTTATCCATCTAAATTTCCAACTTAGACATGTTGTGCATAGTCTATTACGAATGTGTTTTTTTCTTTTTGTGCTTGAGTCACTATATTTTAGCTTAATAGACTGAAGCGAACAAATATAAGCACATAAGCTACATTTAAAAACTTTCTGTGGTTTCTTGTGTAACTTCTTTCCTTTCTTTTTTTTTCTTTTTTTCTTTTAAATAAATTGTAATCTGTTTGTGCGACCTTGCTGGCTCAGAACGATGTGCTAAGACACAGAACATAGGTGAGCGTCTGAAAGAGGCTGGTAACATCAACACATCATTGCTTACTCTGGGAAAGTGCATAAATGCTCTACGGCACAACCAACAGGCCAAGTAAGCACTTATCACACTTTTTGTAGCAAAATATCAAAATGTTATCAGCTTACATTTCTTTCAAGATAAATTCTCCGCAAAGTCCAAAGTCAAAAAGACCCACATTTAAGTTGTTACATTAAAATTAGACATTATTTTAGGCAATTACTTTTTTTTTTTTGTAATCATTATATTTCTAACAAATTAATCAGTCATTAATTAATGATTTGTATTGCAGGGGAATTTCTGGTTTATTTATTTAAAGTAAATTGCCCTTGCCTAAATTTATATTTAAAATTAACTTTACATTGGTCCTAGTATATATTTTACATTTCTTTTGGATAGGTCATTAATCTTAGTTAAAGTTACTGTTTTTAAGCTGTGAACAATTTCACAGCTTGACCCTTTGAACACCTGTGGCGACACAAGCAGATAGTTTACAGACACAGCTGTCAGTAGAAACTATTTACAGCCACAATACCATGTTCAAGTACTATCTCCTTCAGGCTGTTTTTTGATTCTAGAATGATAAAACAAATACCTGTACCCTGAAAGGTACTTTCAATTTTAAGCAAATTTTCTTCATGTTCCTCCACTTTTTTTTTGTGCTTCCACTTTTAGTTAATCTGGTCCCACAATGGTTTCCTATTTCAGTTTGAAATTCCTAGATGTCTGGGAGGCTTAAAATAACCACCGCCCTCATCTGTTGTGTATGTTACAAAAGACACCGGCACATATGCAATTTACTGACACAAAGACTGGCTCATTTTCAGGCTCTTGCAGCACGTTCCTTTCAGAGAGAGTAAACTCACACACTACCTCCAGAGCTTCTTTTGTGGCCGTGGCAAAGCCTGCATGATCGTCAACATTAACCAGTGTGCATCTATGTATGATGAGACCCTCAACGTCCTCAAGTTTTCTGCTGTGGCGCAGAAGGTGCGCATCTTGTTCTCACTCTTTTTTTTTTTTTTATGAATTGAATGAATGACAGATCAAACTGAACTCACCAGATCACTGATTCTCTTCCAGGTTGTTGTTCTGACCACAAGGCTCCTCACAGTCAAACCTCAGAGTTCTGCCACTCAGGTCTCCTTTGGGAGGGATTTTATGCCCAGCAGCTGCATTGAGAAAAGAAGGAGCTCTCTGATTGGCTGGGAGAGCAGTCTGGAGGATGTTCAGGTTAGCTCCACTCATGCTAACACTTAGTGAAAAGGAAGTTTTTATTAGTTTGACCATTAGTTTCCTTGTACAGGAGGACTTAGGTGATGAGCATGAACAAGATGGCAGTGCTTTGATGGAGGACACTTTGGATCTCAGCCAAACTGAAGGCCAATGCACCGAGGATAAAATACTCATCAGTAAACACACACACCAGGTTGGTTGGTTTGTGTCCGTTAATAAACCTTCTGATTTTATATCACAGTACTGCGATGTTGTTAATCGCCTGCTGCCAGTATTAGGAACTTAATTCTTAATTTGTGAATTGTGACCACATGAGGTATGGCTGAGTCATTGATTTGTGGATTGGTGTAAGCTATAATCTCCATGGCGTGAGGTGTTAGCTGCTAGAGAAAAATCTTTCTCGCCGAGTAAAAGGTGGCATCCAATTCCTCCGACATCAGAGACTTAAACAGACGGTGCATGTTGTTTTGCTCTGTTCTTCAGAAGCAGGTGGCGCTGTTGAATCAGCTGCAGCATCAACTAAAGAAAGAGCGAGCAGAGGGACTTCTGACAGAGGCTCGAATCAGGGAGGAAATCTGTGGAGAGTTCACCGAACTGATCGCTACTATGCAGAAGGACTTCAGGTAAAATTTTTCTTATTTGTCCTTTGATATTTTTTTAAATTACATTCCTAAACTTATTGAAAGAAGAATACCATCAAGATCTAAAGATCTATTTTAAAAACACCTGCTAAATTTGTTTGGTACAGTGACCGTCTTGCAAGGGAGAAAGAAATCCTAGAGGAGCGAGCAGAACACAGGATGGAGATCTTCAAAAAAATGATCAACAACATGACTCCACCAGTAATCAATCAAGACACAGATATGGTATTGAATCTTTGACGTGTATGGTTCTGCTGAAAATGTTTTGCTTGAGCTGGAATCTTTGCATTGCTTTGATGCGATGTCTGGTTTGTTAACGTGTGGCGTTCACACCTAGGAGGAATTGTCTGCACTGGAGAAAGAGAAGAAAGCCAGAGCTGACGTCCTGGTTGCTTTGGAATTCCAGACTCAGGGCAAAGAGGAGGCATTGGCCACTGTTAAGGAGCTGAGGAGGGACAAGAATGAGGCACAAGCTGCTCTGGAAAAAGAGAGGAGTGAAAAAAAAGATGCTAATTTTCTTCTAGAGAAGGAAAAGAAGGAGGTTATCAGGCTCACTGAGGAGAATAAAGTGATTCAACAACAAGTCAGAGAACTTAAACAGGAGATCAGAGATCTTTCTGCCAAACAGGACACAGCTGAGCACCAGGTGAGTCACATTTTTATCTTTTTGCCTTCGTTAAATATTTATTAACTTAAAAAATTATCTGATATGTTCCAAAGAAGATAAATGCTAAGTTTAAATGAGGTTGAAGTCAGAAAACTATTTTCTTAACACACTTAACAAAAGAAATACAGGGTCCTTAAGTATTGTTGTGAGCTTTATCAAAGACATTTTAAAAAGTCCTGTACATCCTTTGAAAAGGAGGTTTACTATAATAAAAAGCATTACAGCGCTTTGATGGCTTTGATTAACCTTGAAGTGTTTTCTCTGTTATGATGTGCTCAGGTGACCTGTGAGAGAGACAGAACTGCTCAGACATTAGTCCAGTTGCACTCTGCTCAGGAACAACTTGATCAACAAGCAAAAGAAATCCAGGAGAAGAATTCGCAGATTCATCTTTTTATGCTCAAGGCTGAAAATGCATCAGATCTTAGGAGGAAAACAGCTGATGACAGTCAACATTCTGAGTCAGCAGAGTTGAGATCCCAGCTGGAATACAAAGAGCTTGAGCTGGTTCAGATCAAAGAGGAATTGAAGCAGATGAAGGAGAAGCTCGACCAACAGCATAAAGAATCAGCTCGGGAGTTTGAAGACCTTAAAACAAAGCTTCAGAATCAGGAAGAGAGTAGGTCCAGGCTGGAACATATGGAGCATGAGCTAGTTCAGGCCAAACAAGAGAGGGAAAAGGTTTGTCAACATCTTGATGCTTCAAATCAAGAAATTATGGAGCTACGAAAAAAGCTGCAGGAGCAAGAGAACATCAGGTCCCAGCTGGAACACCAGGAGCTTGAGTTATCTGAGACTAAGGAGAAGCTGGAGCTGGTGAATGAGATGCTCTGTCAACACCAGGCTCGGTCAAACGAACAAATCAATGAGCTGAGAACAAACCTTCAGGAGATGGAGGAGATAAGATCTAAGCTTAAAAATCAAGAGCTCCCTGTTGAGGCCACCGAAGAGCTTGGGAAGATGGAGAAGGTCAGTCAACAGTGTGAAGAGTCAACCCAGAAGATTGATGAGCTCACAGCAAAGCTTCAGAAGGAGGAAGAGAACAGGCCCAGGTTGGAACAGTTAGAGAATGAGCTGGCCCAGGTCAGACAAGAGAGGGATGAGGTCAGTCGACATTGTGAGACTTTAACTCAACAGATCAATGAGCTGAGAACAAAGCTGCAGGAGGAAGAAAAGATCAGGTCTATGTTGAAACATCAGGAGCTCGAGCTATCTGTGACTAAAGAGAAGCTGGATCAGGTGAATGAGATGCTCTGCCAACAGCGGACAGAGTCAACTCAGAAAATCAGTAAGCAACAGGAATCCGAGGAACAGCTGAGAAAGAAGCTTGAAGAACAGACACAAACCTGTGACGAGTTGAAGCAGAAGCTGCAGAAACAGCAGGTAGAGTCACAGAAAGATGTGGATGAATTGAAACACAAACAAAAAGAACAGCAGGAAACATCTGATGACGTCATCAAAGATTTAAAGCTGCAACTTAAGGAAGCTCAGCTCCAAGCTTCCTCCACCGCTGCTGCTGCTGCTGCTGAGGAAGAGCTCAAAAAGCTGAACTCTGAACTCCAAACTGAGGTTTCTTCCCTGAGGTCCAAGGTGGCCTGCATTGAGGAAGTGAAGGATGAGGAAAAAGGCAAGACGTTCCCAGAATCCTCTGAGCTGCAAAAAAAACTTTTGGAAAAGGAGGCAGAGGTGACAGCACTGCAGAAGAGCCTTCGGGATGTGGAGGAACGCAAGGCAGAAGAGGAAATGCAAGCCGTTCAGGAGGCCCGACGCAGGGAGGCAGAGCGACGTCGGGAGCTGCTTGCCGTGGCTCATGAGGCTATCGCTCAGAAGGATGAAGAGCTGGAGAAGAAATCAGAGGAAATCAGTAGGTAAGGTTCACACATTCACAAAAACAATATGATCCATTAGTTTTTGTCTCTGTCCTTTTTATTTCCTTCTGAGTATCATTTCATTTAATTTTCACAGACTTAAGGAAATGGCAAAGCAGGACGCGGAAAAGGTGACAAGTCTCAATATTGATCTCCAGAGGAAAGAGGAAGAGACATCAGATGTCAAAGAAAAACTTGCAGACTACAAGAAGCAAATCCAGCAGGTTCAGAAGGAGGTAAAGCTTTTTGGCTTACTTGTGATAGCCTGTTACCAACAAGAAACCAGAAGTTTGTTTAAAAAAAAAAAACAACTCACTCTCACACAGTCTTAGATAACAGTTTCATCAAATGTCAGCATTTTCATTAATTTTAACAGATTATGTAAACTCAATTTCTTTTTCATATTGACTTATGGGAGAGAGGTTTATGGTTCGTAGACATTTTATAATTTATTATTTTTTCTTTTGAGTATTTTTTGGGAAAACAGATGGGATGCCACTCTGGCTGTAATTTAGTTTTTTATGTGTTTTTTGTGAAGATTTCAGCCATGAGGGAAGAGGAGAAACTTCTGAGGCAAAAACTGAATGATGCAGACAAAACCAAGAAGCAGCTTCAGTCTGACATTGCCAACAGAGACAGAACCATTCAGCAGCTTAAAGGGGTGAGATTTTACTTTTTCTTATTTAAAAAAATGACTGATTGACTAACATTTAAATTGAATACTTTTTTTTTTTTTTTTTACTCTAATGAAAAAAATGTTTGTTTTTACTTCTTGCTGCATTCTTTTATGTATATTTAGTATAATCAGTCTTCTTCTTCTTCTTCAGGAACACTCTGCTCACCTCAAGTCCGACCACACGCAGGAATTGTACCAGAAAGCTTGTAAAGGTGACAGGCTTATTTTGGAATTTTAAACAAATGTTATTTCTTTGTGTACATTTGTGCCTGAACATTAGTCCCTGTCAACCTGCAGACCTGGAGGCAAAAGAGCGTGTGATGGAGGACATGCGTTTGGCTCTGACAGAGCAGGAGGAAACACAGGCCCAGATGGAAGAGATGCTGGAGGAAAAGCTCGGCCTTATCCAGGAACTTACTGATGGTGAAAAAAAAACAGAGATGTAGTCTGCAGACTGAACATAGACCATATTTAAACATTTCTTTCATT